TAGTGGTTTAATAATGCGGGGAGAGGTGTGACTGAGGAGTCTTCATGAGAGATAACTTACCAGTAAATTCAAGGTGCGCACCGTGCCTTAAACACAAATGCATTATTTATTATACATTTGAACTAAGGAGTGGCAAGAGAATTACTCTATGGATTTTTTCAATCAAAATCATCCCTCGTGTTTTTAAAATATGACTTTTTTTTTTTAAGACTCTTAGAGAAGATTTCTTTTATATGAAAGTCGAGGTGACATGCCCCAGGCAATGCGTGTCATTGTCTGCTGGGCTTCTGTGCATTTCCTCTCTCCACCCACAGCATTTCCCCAAGCTGGAGGGAGCTTTCACTTTGTTAAAACGTTCACTTTCAGAATTGCTGGAGAGAGAGACCGTCAACCTCGAGTACAACTCTGAATTGGTGCTGGGGTTTTCTCTTTCTTTTTGTGCCTGTTTTTGAATCTCAAAGTAAAACCTTTGGGGGCGGCTGCATCTCTTCAGCAAACTGCATAACTCGGTGCTCCGGCTAGGGAAATGGGGATCCTCCTCTTGGCAGAGAAGTCACCCGATAAAGACTTTCAGGACCAGAGGTGCCTTCCAGAAAGGGCACAGTTGAGCCCAGGTGGTTTGAAATGGACGCTCTGGTCTCCTGGGGAGTCCTCCCTGAAAGTGTGGCTTTCAGAAAACCTACTTGCATTTTCTACACGTTCTCCACCAAGGTCCAGAGTTTCCTTAAGCCTGCCCTCAGCTCTACTTCTTAATTCTCCCACAGCCTGGATCCCTTCTTTTCTGTTCTATCCTTGTGTCCATTACAAGAGTTGAAAAACGAAGCCCCAAAGGGCTCCCCGTGGGTTTGCAGAGACCAAAAAAATGCTGGATAGATAAAACTGACTGCAAAGAGGCGCTTAAAACAGTGAAACTCGACCTCAAAAGAGAGACAAGAAAACATTCCCTTATAAAGGAGCACTGTTCTAAATCTGATGTTGTCTCTGCCTTCCCAGCCTTTCCAGTTGTCAGCTCTCTTTTCTGACTCGGCTAAGTCCTAGGTTCTGACGAGGTGCGGGAAAAGCTCTGAGGTTGTACCTAGCGGACCTCTTTGTTTTTATCCTTCCTTCACCTGACCTTCTCCATAGTGCGCCCCTAACACCAGTGCATACCTTGTGAGCCAGAAAACAGACAGCACATTCAAACTCAGTAATTCAAGGAAGGTCGGTGATTAAAAGGAGCGTTTACAACATGACGAATAGAGTCTAGGAAAAGCAGTAAGGATGGTGCAGTGCCCTGGAGCTAGTCACATGGGGAGCTGATGTCGCCCCCAGGCCTCACAGGGCTGGAGGAGCCTTCCAGGAATTTCACAGATTAGGAACTCCAGAGATTAGCTGCATGCGGGGCACTTGCCCTTTGGTCCAAGGACCCAGCCAACCTGTATCAGCTCAGTGAGGAGAAGCCGCAGGTACAGTTTCCTGCCCTCTGATCACCCAGAACCTCCTTGTGGCAAATCTCATCAGAACCAGAGGGCAAGGGCTCATGAGATCCCTGCATGTCAGTCTCTGGGGACTCAGAGAAGGTGGAGAATGTACCTGGGAAATTTGCAGGACATTGACCAAGTCAAGGGTGGTGCAGTGGAAGGATACTAAAAGATTTAGGGGCTGGGCACGGTGGCTCACACCTGTAATCCCAGCACTTTGGGAGGCCAAGGCAGGCGGATTACTTGAGGCCAGGGGTTCAAGACCAGCCTGGCCAACATGGTGAAACCCTGTCTCTACTACAAATACAAAAAATTATCTGGGCATGGTGGGTCGTACCTGTAATCCCAGGTACCAGGGAGGCTGAGGCAGGAGAATCACTTGAACCCGGGAGGCAGAGGTCACAGGGAGGCAGACGTCACAGTGAACCGAGATCACGCCACTGCCCTCCAGCCTGGGCAACACAGCAAGACTCCGTCTCAAAAAATAAAAAATATAAAGGATTTAGGGAACTGGTGATTTTAGGTCACTGAACAAAAAAAACAACACCGTTCTCTTAACATTTCTGCATATTTCAGCACTTCCTTCCTTGGGATCTTTGTATTCTTTGGTCTCTTGGCTTTAACTACCCTCTTTATACTGAAGACTCCCAATCCGGTCTTTAGTACAGACCGCTCCCCGAGCTCAGATCCACAAGTCCAAGTATATATTAGTCTCTCTGCTTGGTTTTTTGTTTCTTTGTTTGTTTTTCGGGGTTTTTTTGAGATGGAGTCTGTGTCTGTCACCCAGGCTGGAGTACAATGGTGCCATCTCGGCTCACTGCAACCTCTGCCTCCTGGTTCAAGCGATTCTCCTGCCTCAGCCTCCTGAGTAGCTGGGGTTACAGGCATGCGCCACCATGCCTGGCTAATTTTTGTATTTTTAGTAGAGACGGGGTTTCACCATGTTGCCCAGGCTGGTCTCAAACTCCTGACCTTTGGTGGTTCGCTCACCTCGGCCTCCCAAAGTGATGGGATTGCAGGCATGAGCCACCACGCCCGGCTAATCTCTCTTCCTGGGAGTCTCATAGAAATATCAGCCTTAATACATGTGAAACTACATGTATGATCTTCCCTTCTCAGACCCACTTCTCTCTGTCTTCCCTCGCCTAAAGCTCAGACTGACAACTTCAGAGTCACCCTGGGCAGCTCATTATTGCACATCTGATCTTATCTCCCAGAAAATCCTGGAGGTTTGGGTGATCAAAAGGCACCCAGAACCTGACCCCTCTCACTGCCTGCACTGCTCGTTACGTACGACTTGTCCAAGTTGCAGTAATCTCCAGGATGTTACAACAGCCTCTCAGCATCTGAATTCTTCCCTTCACAACATCTTAGAGTTACTCATCGACTCTGGTTCATTCAGACAAAAAGGCCTACAAGACCCTATGCAACTCCCTCTTTCTTCTCTGACCTCGTATGATATTCTCCCCGAGGCTCCTCCAGATCTAGCCCCCAGGTTAACAGCACACCAGAGCCTGCCTCAGGGCCTTTGCAGATGGCAAGGAGGAAAATTTATCTTTAGTTTTAAAATAATCTAATAATGAAAACAGCCAGGCACACAAAACACACAAAACTCTTACTCAAGTGTTTGTAGCAGCATTTTTCTTTTTCTTTTGTTTGTTTGTTTGTTTTTTTGCAAGACCGAGTCTTGCTCTGTCGCCCAGGCTGGAGTGCAGTGGTGCGATCTCAGCTCACTGCAACCTCCAGCCCCCTAGGTTTTAAACAATTCTCCTGCCTCACCCTCCAGAATAGCTGAGATTACAGGTGTGCACCACCACGCCTGGCTAGTTTTTGTATTTTTAGTAGAGACGAGGTTTCACCATGTTGGCCAGGCTGGTCTCGAACTCCTTACCTCATGATCCGCCCACCTCTGCCTCCTAAAGTGCTGGCCCGGCCGCATTTTTCATAATAGCCCAAACCTGGAAGCAACCCAGAAGTCTGTCAGCTGTTGAATGGGTAAACAAAATGTGGGATAGCCACATAATGGAATAATCATTTGGCAATAAACAGGAATGAAGTACTGATACATGTGACAATGTGGACCTTGAAATCATGCGAAGTGGACATTAGGAGATAATGAACACATCCCAGTTACCAAAGGCCTCAGACCGTGTTTCCATTCACAGGAAACATCTAGAATAAACATCCACAGACAGAAACAGGCTGCCTAGGACTGAGGAAGACGGAGGGTGACGGCTAGGGGGTACAGGTTTCTTTTAGGGGTGATGAAAATATTCTAAAATTGGTTGTGTTGATGGTTGTACAGTTCTGTGACTGCTAAAAACCATTGAATTGCTCAGTTTAAATGAGTAAATCAGATAATATCTGAATCCTATCTCAAAGCAGTTAAAAAAGATGATCAAAGTGATTGCTGTCTTAATAAAACATTCCTGTCGTTTTTCCAAGTGGCATATATGTCTTCACATTTTATTTTATTTTATTTATTTATTATTTATTTTTTGAGATGGAGTCTTGCTCTGTAGCCCAGAGCTGGAGTGCAGTGGCACGATCTTGGCTCACTGCAACCTCTGCCCCCCGGGTTCAAGCAATTCTCCTGCCTCAACCTCCCAAGTAGCTGGGATTACAGGTGCGTACCACTGGCTAATTTTTGTATTTTTAGTAGAGATGGGATTTCACCGTGTTGGCCTGGCTGGTCTCGAACTCCCGACCTCATGATCTGCCCACTTCAGCCTCCCAAAGTGCTGGGATTACAGGCGTGAGTCACCGTCCAGCCTATTTTATTTTTTTGAGATGGGGTCTCATTCTGTCACTCAGGCTGGAGTGCGGTGGCACGATCACAGCTCACTGCAGCCTCAACCTCCCAGGCTTAGGTGAGCCTCCAACCTCAGCCTCCCAAGTAACTGACTTCAGGCGTGGGCACTACCATGCCTGGCCAGTCTTCAAATTTTATACAGTTGTACCTAGAGCTGTAAAGGGAACTCTGTGACTGCTTTTTTTCCCCCCAAGTGAAACTTGTTTCATCTGTGATGACTACTCTTGTTTTCATTTCCGCATTAAACTTTTTATTCCCTTTTTCTTTTTCTTTTTCTTTTTTTTTTTTTTTTTTTTTTGAGGCAGGGTTTCACTGTGTCATCCAGGCTGGAGTACAGTGGCGCAATCACAGCTCGATGTGGCAGTTTCAACCTCCCTGGACTTAGATGATCCTCCCACCTCAGCCTCCAGAGTAGCTGGGACTATCGGTGTGTGCCACCACATCCAGCTAATTTTTCTATTTTTTGTAGAGAGGGGGGTCTCACTGTGTTGCCCAGGCTGTCTCGAACTCCTTCGCTCAAGTGATTCTCCTGCCTCAGCCTCCCAGAGTTCTGGGATTACAGATGTGAGCTACCGCACCCGGCTACCCCTTTAAACTCTTAAATTTATCTGGAGCATACATACTAGAGGTCCAATATTTAGATGTTGTTGAAGTGGATGAAAATGTTTCCTCCTGGGTTTGTAAGAGAAGCAGAGGGTACTAATTGCCAGTGTGTTTCCCCTTTGCAGAACTTTCACGATGGCCGGAAAGCACAGCAGCACATCGAGACTTGCTGGAAGCAGCTTGAATCCGTAAGTGAACAATGCACAGCAAAATAAATGGCTTTATAGATTTTTTTTTTTTTTCTTTTTTTGAGACGGAGCCTCCCTCTGTTGCCCAGGCTGGAGTGCAATGGCGCGATCTTGGCTCGCTGCAACCTCCACTTCCCGGGTTCAAGTGATTCTCCTGCCTCAGCCTCCCGAGTAGCTGAGATTACAGGCACATGCCACCGCGCCCAGCTAATTTTTGTATTTTTGGTAGAGATGGGGTTTTGTCATGTTGGCCAGGGTGGTCTTGAACTCCTGCCCTGAAGTGATTCGCCCACCTCGGCCTCCCAAAGTTCTAGGATTATAGGCGTGAGCCACTGTGCCCAGCCTAGGAAATGTCTTTATAGATTTTCCAATTTCAATTTAATTTAAGCTTGAATCAATGAGTAAGTAAAAAACATGCACACACAGACACTAACGAAACACCTTTATAGATTTTTCTCGTTTATTTCTAGGACCACTATCTAAAGTTGAGCCAAAAGGGCTCAGGTCGAGTATTTTTCTAAAAGTCACGTGGAAATAATAAAGATTAGACAGTTTTGATAGAAACAAATGCAGATTTTAAAATAACTTCTGGAAATTATGACATATAAAAAAATAAATTCAGAGAAGTTCTTGGGCCAGACATGTTGGCTCACGCCTATAATCCCAGCAATTTGGGAGGTGGAGGCAGGAGGATCGCTTGAGCTCAGAAGTTCAAGACCAGCATGGGCGACATGACAAAACCTAGTCTCTACAAAAAATGCAAAAGTTAGCCGGGCATGGTGGTGCATGCCCGTAGTCACAGCAGCTAGTGAGGCTGAGGTGGGAGGATCACCTGAGCCGGGAAGGTCAAGGCTGCGGTGAGCCGAGATGGTGCCACTGCACTGCAGCCTGGGTGACAAAGTGAGACCCTCACTCAAGAAAAAAAAAAAAGAAGAAGAAAAAGAGCAATGCTCTTTGGGAGCTTTAGATAAAATTACGTCTTCTCGTAGGACTCTTGTGGTTTCATAATTATTTTCCTCTGATTATAGAGTAAAAGGCGATTTGAACGCGATTGCAAAGAGGCGGACAGGGCGCAGCAGTACTTTGAGAAAATGGATGCTGACATCAATGTCACAAAAGCGGATGTTGAAAAGGTGAGATGAAAGCTCAAGTGTGGGCCAGGCACAGTGGCTCTCACCTGTAATCCCAGCACTTTGGGAGGCTGAGGTGAGCAGATCATCTGAGGCCAGGAGTTCGAGACCAGCCTGGCCAAGATGGTGAAACCCCATCTCTACTAAAAACACAAAAATTAGCCGAGTGCGGTGGCAGGCACCTATAATCACAGCTACTAGGGAGGCTGAGGCAGGAGAATCGCTTGAGCCTGGGAGGCGTTGGCTGCAGTGAGCCAAGATCACGCCACTGCACTCCAGCATGGGTAATAAGAGCGAAACTATCTCCAAAAAAAAAAAGAAAAAGGAAAGTTCAAGTGTGTCTTTCATTTCCCCTGTGAGTGTTCATCACTGACTGCCCATCCCCAGGTTCCCATTTCTGATGTAGCCACAGAAGGCACTACACGGGGAATCATTTTCGTTTTGTGTCAACCTTTGTGGGGACCAGAAGCTCAAGTGTGGGGAATCTTCGGTGTTAGGATTTGAGGCGTTTATCTGTTGAGTCACCAGGGCGATAAAGTGGAGACTTAGACCATGAGCAATCTGGGAACAACGTTCCAGAAGGTTGTGGCTGTTAATGGCTTTTCAAAGAGAAAGTCGATTTCTTGAGAGCCGGAGGAGACAGGACAGGGCCATCTGGAAGAGCTTGGCTGCTTATAATGGTTTCTTTAGAGCGAGAGTCTCACTGCTTGTCTGACTTCTAATTGATTCCTCCTGGTTGATAACAGTGAGGTTGTCGTTGAAGGTTTGCATATTTCAGTCCTCTCAAAAGCTTTTCTCTAAATGGACTTGTATTGCCAATTAGAAATATTATAAAACGTATACTGTTTCTCACTGTGGCTCAATATGTGTTTTTTCCCTAGAAGCTAAATTTTATTTTTATAAAAGTCATCAATACAGTGTAAACAAAATTAGGCTTTTACATAACAGGGATTCATTCGTGATGCCCATGGCTGTTCGGGCATTCATAGCCTCATGCTGTATGTGGGTGAAAGCACTAAGTTTTCATAGATTTGTTGTTGAGCTTTTGACAGATCAGTTAGAGATGAGTTTAGTTGGGAAATGGTGTGAATTATTATTTGCCCAATTCTGCCAAATTCCTTGCTTAAAGACTAGGTATACATTAGTATTAGTATGTCTTTCTCTAAAATTATTGAATATATTAAAATACATATTCTTGCCAGGTGCTGTGGCACACACCCCTAGACTCAGCTACTCAGGAGGCTGAAGCAAGAGGATTGCTTGAGCCCAAGAGTTCAAGTCCAGACTGGGCAACGTAACGAGACCCATCTCAGGGGCAGGGAAGAGTTCTCAATATCTGTATTTGATCTCAAAGTGGAGATACTTACTTTACCAAAAGACATTAATTTGCTGCTAAAGTTAAATATTTAAAATGTTATTCAATTAAAATAAGTTAGATTAGCCCAAAGTTTAAAAGGATATTTTATGTTGAGTGAGGTAAATCAGTGTATCTTTCATATATATATATATATATATATGTACGTGTGTGTGTGCTAAAAGAAGTATATATGTATATATTTAAGAGATAGTGAGATATGGTCTCTATTTTTATTTTATTTTTTATTTTTATTTATTTTTATTTTTAATTTTATTATTTTTTTGAGATGGAGTCTCGCTCTGTCGCCCAGGCTGGAGTGCAGTGGTGTGATCTTAGCTCACAACAACCTCTACCTTCAGGGCTCAAGTGATCCTCCTGCCTTAGCCTCCTGAGTAGCTGGGACTACAGGAGCCCACCACACCCTGCTAATGACCCTGTCTCTAAATTAATAATTTTTTTTTTGTGTGGGGTGTGTTGGCTCATGCCTGTAATCCCAGCACTTTGGGAGGCCAAGGTGAGCAGATTGTTTGAGTCCAGGAGTTCAAGTCCAGCCTGGGCAACATGGTGAGACCCCACCTCTACAAAAATTACAGAAAAATTAGTGGGGCATGCTGGCCCATGTCTGTGGTCCCCAGCTACTCCAGAGGCCAAGGTGGGAGGATCGCTTGGTCCTGGGAGGCAGAGTTTGCAGTAAACCACAGTCCTGCTGCTGCACTCCAGCCTGGATGACAGAGCCAGACCCTGTCTCAAAAAAAAGCACTCGGCCTCTAAACTGTCATTTCGTTTGTGTTCTGTTTTTTTCTGTAGAGATGGTCATAGCAGCAGCAAGTAATGATACTTGCATTTCTTTTCCAATCTTCATGCCTTTTGTTTATTTTTTCTTATCTTAATTCTGCTGGTTATGCCCTCTGTTCTGCTGAGTCATCATTGTGGACTTCCTCAGCTTGTTTCTGATTGCAAAGAGAGGGCTTCAAAAGGTTCCCCATTAAGAATGATTCTTTTTTTTTTTTTTTTTTTTTTTTTTTTGAGATGAAGTTTTACTCTTGTTGCCCAGGCTGGAGTGCAATAGCACAATCTCAGCTCACTGCAACCTCCACCTCCTGGGTTCAAGCGATTCTCCTGCTTCAGCCTCCCAAGTTGCTGGGATTACAGGCATCACCACACCCAGCTAATTTTTTGTGTTGTTGGTAGAGATGGGGTCTCACCATGTTGTCCAGGCTGGTCTCAAACTCCTGACCTCAGGTGATCCACCCGCCTCGGCCTCCCGAAGTGCTGGGATTACAGGCGTGAGCCACTGCGCCCAGCCAAGAATGATTTTAATATACTCTTTATTGGTTAAACAATTTTCCTTTTCCTGTGTTGCCAAGAGCTTTTTTTTAAGCTTGACTACTTATTGAATATCATTAAATATTTGTTCTGCTTCCTTTAATTCATTAACGTAGTCAATTACATTAATCAATTTTTTTTACATTGAGCCAAATTAGTGTTCCTGGGACAAATTCAACTAGATTATGATGTATTATGTTTTTATGCGTAGCTGAATTTGTTAATATTTTATTTAAGATTTTTCATTGAAATGGTCTGTATTCATTGAAATTGGTCTATAATTTTCCTTTCTTGTCTGTTCTACTTTGCATTACTTATGAGTTTTGGAGTGTTTACTCTTGTTTCTGAAATAATATATGTAAAATTAAATTTGCTATCCCTTAAATGTTTGATGATACTTCTTTGTGTAAATCAGTTAAAATTCCATATTTTATTGTCTACTTCTGGGTTAATCCTAGTGGGTTATCTTTTTGTAGCAATATATCCGTTTCATCATAAATTTTCAAATTTATTGGCAAAAAGTTGCCCATAATATGTTCTCACCTTAATTTTTGCTGCATATGTTATATCTCCCCTATTTACTCCTAATACTTTTTTTATATTTTTTCTTTTTTTCTGGACATGTTTTTTAATAAATTATTTATGCTTATTTTATTATATTACTATTTTTTGTATATAGAGATGGAATCTCACTGTGTTACCCAGGCTGGCCTAAGCCTCAGCCTCCTAAAGTATTAGGATTGTGGGCATGAACCACTGTGCCCAGCCTGAAAATCATTGTTACTAGTATCAGATTTCATCTTTGTGGAGCCTCCCTTTTCTATTTTTATTTTCTATTTTATTTAACTTCTTTCCCCACCACCCCCATTCCCCTCCTTCTCCTTCTATCATTACCTTTGGATTTATTCCATTACCCTTTTAAAAAGTTCTTTTTTTAGATGCTTACTTCAGTCTTTCTTCTTTTCCAGTATAAACATTAAGATTATAGACTTCCCACTTAAGTACTGTTTTCTCTGTTTCCCACATATTTTGGTATGTGGTATTATTAATGATGTCCATTTCCAGATATTTGTCCTTTCTTTTACAGTTTAATCTCTCACCTATGATTAATTTAGAGGCATGGTTTTAAATTTCCAAACACATGGCATATTTCAACTTTTGTTACAGATTTTTATTTGTTCATTTATTTATTTTTTTAATTTTTTTTTTTTTTTTTTCTGAGACGTAGTCTCATTCTGTCATCCAGGCTGGAGTGCAATGGCACTATCTCGGTTCCCTGCAACCTCTGCCTCCCCGGTTCAAGCAATTCTCCTGCCCCAGCCTCCCTAGTCCTGGGATTACAGATGTGCGCCACCACATCCGGATAAATTTTTGTGTGTATTTTTAGGGGAGACAGGGTCTTACCATGTTGGCCATGCTGGTCTCAAACTCCTAACCTCAAGTGATCCGCCCGACTCAGCCTCCCAAAGTGCTGGGATTATAGGCGTGAGCCACCATGCCTGGCAAGATTTCTAACTAAATTGCATTATGGGAAATCTGTATGAGTTTGAGTCTTCTCTATTTGTTGAGATTGGTTTTACAGCCTAGTACACAGTCAGTTTTTATAAATATTCTTTAAATGATTGAAAATAATGTATATTCTCTAGTTTTTTTGTTTGTTTTTTGTTTGTTCGTTTGTTTTTGTTTTTGAGACAGTCTCGCTCTGTCTGTCGCCCAGGCTGGAGTGCAGTGGCGCGATCTCAGCTCACTGCAAACTCCGCCTCCCAGGTTCACGCCATTCTCCTCCCTCAGCCTCCCGAGTAGCTGGGACTACAGGCGCCCGCCACCACGCCCGGCTAATTTTTTTGATTTTTAGTAGAGACGGGGTTTCACTGTGTTAGCCAGGATGGTCTTGATCTCCTGACCTTGTGATCTACCCGCCTTGGCCTCCCAAAGTGCTGGGATTACAGGTGTGAGCCACTGCGCCTGGCATTCTCTAGTATTTTTATTAGGCCAAACTTATTGTTTTATCCAAATATTCCTATCATTAAGGATTTTGTTTTTCAACTTGTTCTAACACTTTCTGAGGAAAATATGTAATATCCTTGTGTCTTAATTTCCTTGTCCATAAAATAGGGACACTGAGGAACAGGATAGATACGAATATTAACTGAGTTAATATGTAAAAGATGCACAAAACCATTTATGGGATGTTGCCAGTGATAATGGTGGAGGATTATTGATTTTCTGTCTATTACTGTTTTATTATGGAGTTATTCTATTAAACAAATGAAGTTTAGAATTGTAATATGTTCAGGTGATTTCATTTTTCATCAATGAA